GTCCTGGATTCCTCGTTCGTTTATTCTGGATCCTGCCCTTCTCGACACCTTCTACCGCACTCACCCGGGCAAGCCTGGGGGGCCCCGGTTTTTGTGTTCCCCCATGGACTGTTCCTCCAGACCGTGGCTCCACTCTCCCCTCCCAGGCAGGTCAATGCTCAGTCGCCTATCTGTTCTACTATTGCCTTCATCTCTCTGTCTCTACCTTCAGTAACCACCATCACCACCGACCAGCCCAGGAGTGACCCAGCCTACGCAGCTCGGCCCAGCTCTCCATCTCCTCGCCTCCTGTGGTTGGTCAAACACCCGGCTACTACTCATCAACAGGACTACGTACTATTTCCCTCTGTGTATTGTTACTCCCTTCATCACTGTATATAATAAATCACTGCATGCACCGAAGTCGGCTACCTGGGTCCGCCTCTTTCTCGTTCGTACACTGACTGGTGCGAACGGCACCTAACAGTCACATACGTACAGGGGGAGTTTGATATGTACATCAAAGCAGGGCTGCAGTAAAATACTGTCTCCCCAGAGAGCATTACTCAGCTCTACTATGTCCCAAACAATGAAGAAAACCCCTGGATTTTCTTTTAAGCTTTGTGGTCACTGAAATAGAAACAGCCACATGAATGACAAAAGATAAATTCTAGCTCAGCATTTGTAGAAATGCTCTTAATCTTAATTCCTTTCAGTGAGATAAGTAAATCAATATCAGCTTCATGACATAGTTAGCCTATCTAGCATAAAAATTGGAAAACCTGGTGACACAGCTAGCCTGGCTCCCTAAACACATTGTACATGTTTGCTACCTGAACTCCTGAATATATTTACATAAATATATATATATAAATTCATTTTTAATACAAACAGGTTTCCCACCAGACCATTCCCAGAGTATTAAATGCATTCAGAAAACAGCTTGTAGACGATTATGTAGAGAAATGCAGACAAATATCAATTTAATGTTTTAATGTTCCAAAAAGGATTGATGCTAAGATTAGCTGAGAGAAGAAGTTCACTTCTATCCCATTAACAGGTGTAAAGTCTGTGTACACATTATTTCAGAATGTGACAGGTTGGTAAACAGCCTTTAGGGGCATT